GCTCTCTGAACGCGTGGAGACCTGGATTCATGCTGGCTGCAGCCTCGCCGGCGAGCGGGCATGATCCTCCTCCTGTCTGTCCAGTGTTGCCTGGGGCCTGACCCAGGTCCTGGCACCGTGGGGGGCTTTGTTACATGGCCACACACAGGAGGCGGCAGACACACCTTTCTGGAGAAGTGTCTTCGTGCTATTGTTAAGTGTCAGCCTTCAGTGGGCAGGCCTGGGGGACCAGGGGGTCACCAGGGAGGGGCCGCTGAGCGGCATCAGACAGGCCAGTGTCCCTCCAGGACACAGAAGAGTCGTCCACTCTGGCCAGCAGTCCCGCCTTGTCCTGTGACTGTAGGTCATTTCCAGGGACGGTGGGCTCGCCGTGAGGCCAGCTCCGTGGCAGTGGCTCCAGCAGGTGCGAGCCACGGCTACGCTCACGTGGCTCCTTCCGCCCTCTGTGGGCTTGGCTCACGGCGCACGGGGCTGGAGGCGATTCCTCGCGGTGCCTGTTCTCAGGTGGTGGCTCCCCCCTCGCCCGGACACATGGGGGCTTGTGATGTGACCACACGCAGCGAAGGGCACGTTCCGTTGTCTCTCGCACCCGCGAGGGGAGCAGTGCCGCTTACGCTGAGTTCGGGTTTGCGTCTGTTCCCGAGACGAGAGCCGGTCTGAGCAGTGAGTGCCATGTGTTTGGCAGCTCCCGAGTCCTCTGAGGACCTCAGGTCCCTGCTGGCGGGGAAGCCGGTGGAGGAGCAGCTGCTGGTGGTGGAGCGGATCCAGAAGTGCCACCACCCCAGCCTCGCCGTGGGGAACAAGGCGAAGTTAGAGGTGCGTGAAGACGGGGTCAGCGGGGTCAGTGCCGGGAGCGTCGGGCCGTCCCTGAGCGGCGGGGATCAGGAGCCCTGGGCAGGCCTGGAGGAGGCCCCCACCGGGGCCCTCAGGTCACCCGAGGGTTGGCCTCCTGTGGCCATCGAGCAGCCTGGCCAGCCCCTCAGGGAAGTCGGTGACGCCCCCTCCCTCTGAGACAGGGTGGGGTGCCTGCTGCCGCGCTGAGCCCCGCCCCCGCCAGCCAGAGAGGGCGGTGCGTGTCTGCCCAGGTCCGTTCCGGGTCAGCACTGAGCTGCTCCCCTCCGTGTCCCCCAGAAACTGTTCGGCTTCCTTCTGGAATACGTGGGCGAACTGGCTACAGAGGACCCACCAGACCTCAGAGTGATTGACAAGTTGGTTGTGTGAGTAGAAATGGCGGCGGGGCGCTGAGCTGAACAACTTTAGAGCCGTAAGAATACATGACGGGGTGTGAAGGTCAACCTAGTTGGTAAATGGGACTCACGTGCAGCCACGACACAGCACCTGTGACAGGCCACCTGCTGCTCCTGCCCCAGAGCTGGGCGTGTCCTCAGTTCAGAGCGACAGACATGGGCCTGTTCATGGTATCGATGGCTGACTCGCTTTCGTTCTCCAGCGACCCATCATGCTCTGCTTGGGCGGCTGAGGTGTGTGGAGCACGTGGTGCTGGGCAGGCTCCTGTGGCCTGCAGTGGCTGGGGCAGGCCTGGGTCTTCCACGTGGGAGGTTAGTGAGAGTGGGGCCTAGTGGCCTCTGCCATTTCAGACCTGAGGTGGAGTTGCGAGTTTGTGGCGAAGCACGTAGCCGGTCAGCCAGGTGGGCACATAGAACGTGCTCCCCTCTGGCAAACAGCCTAGGTCAGAGGGGCTGTTACAGAGCCAAGCACAGGAGCCGCCAGGGGGCCGTCGGAGGGGGCGGGTCACCGGGGCTCTGGCTCCAGCCTCAGTCGGCAGTGACGCACAGGCGAGGTCCCGGGGTGGAGGGTGCCTTCCCGGCTGGAGCCCTGCACGGACCTGTGTTTCTGATGAACAGGCAGCTGTACAACCTCTGCCAGATGTTTCCTGAATCTGCGAGCGAGTCCGTGAGGTTTGTGCTCCGAGACGCCATGCACGAGATGGAAGGGACCATCGAGGCCAAGGGCCGGGCTGCATTCCCAGGGCTGGACGTGGTGAGTGGGGCTCGGGCTCCGCGGGCTCAGAGGCCGTCCGCCCTCCGGGTGACCTGGGGGATGGCTCTCCGTTAGCGGTGGACTGAGATTGCGTGTGAGCGGGCCATGTTCAGTCTTCACGGCAGAGGTTTTAAGGCCAATGGGAGGAGCGGATTTCCAGGGAGACCCAAGCCGAGGGCCGCCCAGCTCCGTCTCCGCGCCCACTAGGAGAGGTAGCTGAGGGCGGTTGGGTCAGTGTTAGTGAGTCTCAGTCCGTCATTCCATTTTCTGGACTTCGTGTTGAAAGGAATGAACAGTGATCAGCAGAAACTTAAAATACAAGACTTGTGGCTTATTGTTCATGTCTTTAAAAGGCTCCCCAAATAGCGTCTGAGCCAGTGTCCGCGGCAATGCTGGCGACTCAGTTCTGTGAGCCTCCGCCCAGCTACCTTCCCCGCGTCCGCCCTGGGGGGTACCTAGAGCGCTGGCCAGGGAGACCCCGTCTGCCTCCTCGGAGCCTCTTTCTACCCAGGAGTATTGTGGGGGGCAAGTAGCAAGACCTAGGCAGATGCCTTTAGGTGCCTCGTGGCGGGGGAGCCTGTGGGCTGTGCCTGACCGTGGTCCCCAAAAGTCACCGCTTGTCGTCACCTAAGACAAAACGGATGCATCTTGGGAGCATGCAGGAGGCAGCTTCCTGTCGAGATGGTACAGGCTCCCCACCTCCCGGGACAAGGCAGGCCGGGCAGTGCCCCTTCCAGCCCCACCGGCGCCATGCTGCACGCCCGCCTCCGCCTGCTCGGCACGTTCCCAGTCTCCTGGCGCCTGCCTCGGTCATTGGCGCCGGATGCGAAGGGAGACCTGGGAGCTTCCCGGAAATGCCTTCAGCGCTGGGCGGTGGTCAGAGCCCCTTGTCCTGAGACGAGCAGGTGGGCGGGGGAGCCCAGCTGGGGACGGCGAGAGCCCAGGAGAGCAGAGCGTTGGGAACAGCCTCCAGCTCCCTCGCCCAGCAGCCCTCGGCCTTGGCCGTGCAGTGGGCGCGCTGCCCCGTCCTCAGGAGGCCCTGTGCGTGGCCGCGTGGGCTTGTCCTGCACCGTGTGCTGTGCGGTGGTCGTGGGAAGAACAGGAGGGGCCGCTTCCCCTGAGCGGAGGCCTGGAGGCC